TTTTTGATTTTGCCTAAAATTTATTTTGCGGAATTAATTTTTTTGCGAATCTTCAAAAAATCACGAAATTTGTGAAATTTACAGCCCTTGAAAAAAGGCACCCTATAGTATTAACATAATATGTACATGTACATGTACATACAATATATGTCATTATGTATCAGGATTATAGTGCACATGCATAATACATGTACTTGTACTGTAAATTGATGATCATTATTCATTAAATTTGTAACAATACTTACTGTGTGTTAATTATTTAAATTATTATTATGATTAATTATTATTATTAATTATTATGTAGGTTCAGAGCCAGTTCCATTACCTGTTAATCATTTAGTAAGTCACACTATACCTGCACATGTACATGAATGTATAAAAACAGGCTTTGACTTTTTTTACATTTTCTGATACATATTGATGTACTTACATGTATGCTGTATAGAAAGTTTGAACTGATTCCGACTTAATTTTTTAAAGTTATGAGCACTTTTTAAAACTGCCAATTTTTTGAAAATACCCAGGGCTATAGCCCATGGTTTTTTCAGAAAAATGGCTCCGAAATCACCCTTAATTTTTATTACATTTTCTGATACATATTGATGTACTTACAGTATGTTGTGTAGAAAGTTTGAACTGATTCCGACTTAAATTTTTCAAGTTATGAACATTTTTTTTAAAAACGGCCAATTTTTGAAAAATACCCAAGGCTATAGCTCATGTTTTTTTTTGGAAAAATGGCTCCGAAATCACCCCCAATTTTTATTACATTTTCTGATACATATTGATTTACTTATGCTGTATAGAAAGTTTGAACTGATTCCGACTCAAATTTTTCAAGTTATGAACATTTTTTTAAAACGGCCAATTTTTGAAAAATACCCAGGGCTATAGCCCATAGTTTTTTTGGGAAAAATGGCTCCGAAATCACCCCCAATTTTTAGTACATTTTCTGATACATATTGATGTACTTACGCTGTGTAGAAAGTTTGAACTGATTCCGACTTAAATTTTTCAAGTTATGAGCACTTTTTGAAGCGGCCAATTTTTGGAAAATACCCAACCCAAGGCTATAGCCCATGGTTTTTTCAGAAAAATGGCTCCGAAATCACCTCCAATTTTTATTACATTTTCTGATACATATTGATGTACTTATGCTGTGTAGAAAGTTTGAACTGATTCCGACTTAAATCTTTCAAGTTATTAGTACTTTTTAAAACAGTTGATTTTTGAAAAATACCCAAGGCAAAAATTGGCCGTTTTAGAAAGTACCAATAACTTTAAAAATTTAAGTCGGAATCAGTTCACACTTTCTACACAGCATAAGTACATCAATATGTATCAGAAAATGTAATAAAAATTTGAGGTGATTTTGGAGCCATTTTTCCGAAAAAACCATGGGCATTTTGGAGCCATTTTCCGAAAAA